CTGGGAATGTGGGGAAATGTGGTAATTGGTTAAAAGGCCAAAACTCGGAACAATGGGAGTGAAGGTGACACCCCCTCATCCCTTACATACCCACAGATTTCTGTATTTCTTTATTTTATTTAACCAGTAAATCACATTGAGACATCTCTTTTGATTACTGTGGGCGTCTTTTGAAATAGGGAGAGAAATAAGTATTAATTGTTGATATGAATGGTCTTAAAAAGTCTTAAAAAGTCTTAAATTTAACTTGAAGAAACCTGTAGGACCTCGCCTTCTGATATCATCACTTCCCACAATAAACTGGGTGAGGAGAGCGAGCAGCCGATAAAGGAGTGTTTATTATTTTGCTCTCCAACAGGGTTCCTGGAAAAACCTGAATATTTAGAAACAGATTAAATATTAACCTGGAAATAATCTGTGTTGTCCTGGCGAATTGTAATTGTATTTTATTTTAATGTCACGGTTCTGAGCCAATGATTAAACAGCAGACTTTATCTAGTATTATACTAAAATATTGGTTTGTTAATGATACACTAACTTTAATAACTGCAGATATTATTGCTTATTAGAAAGAGTCAGTCACTGACTTTCTAAGAAGCTGTGGATGAATTCAAGAGCTAAAAGACATTTTCTTACTAAAGCCGTTAAGTTCTTTACTAGAGTATATCTTTGAGCCAGTAATCTACTTTTTTACTTCAGTACATTTGAGCGCCGCTTGTCTTTTGACCAACGATGTGATGACGATGGAGCAAAAACCCAGAACAAGAAGCAGCATCCAGCGACAATCCCTGCCCACTTTTTATACCAAAATCTAAAACTGACTCATACTTTTATCCATTTATTAACTCAACTGCAACATGCAGCCCAAAGTGCTTCACAACAGCACATAAAAACAGAAATAAACAACAACAAACACAGTTGCAAGGCTAAAAATGAATATAAAAGACACAATGAAAGGCGAAAGTCGATATAAAAATAAACACCAGGCAGACAGATAATCTAAAAAACAATGATTAAAACTTAAAAACTAGAGCTGTAACATTACTACAAATTAAAAGCCAGATTAAAAAGACTTAAATTCCCTAATAAAAACACTGAGAGAGCTCGTCATCCTAATATCCAGAGGCAGTGATTTCCAACAGTTTAGGGGCATAAAGACTAAACTGGTTTTATTCGACACATGAGGAACGTTTAGAAGAGGAGCAGTGGACGACCTCAGTGATCGGCTGTTAACCAGGTAGGTTTTCACTGGAGGAGGTTTCTCAAACGGTGATTTCCCCTTTTAGCTGAGTCGTTTTAATGAATTAAGCATAAGAAATACCCCTCTGAGTCTTCATTCGCGCCTCAATAAGTCACATTTGGTTTTGCATGTGTGTGTATCCTGTTGGTCTTATCAGCACACACTGTATAGCAAGTTATAGTCTCTGAGAAAGCGAGATAACACACCCCCGTTCTCCCTCCCTGTATGTCTGCGAAGCAATCCGACATTATTAATTAATGTAGTGTTTATTGGCTGACTTTAGTTCGACTGGGTATTCAGTCCAGGGCTGCATGATGTGGTAGAAAAGTCATATTTAGGTTATTTTGACAGATATTGTGGTATGAGTCGGATCATTTCTGCGTCACGTTCAGTAGAAAAAAGCTGAAAACATGATGATGTGACATTTGTTGGGGCTTTTCTTACATCTGTAGAACAATTTTTATCTTCTACGACGGAGTATTAGGAAATTTCTACGACGGAGTATTAGGAAATGACAAGATTTCTTTTGGAAATTACGAGAAAAAAGTCGTAATATTTTGAGAATAAAGTCGTAATATGTTGAGAATAAAGTCGTAATATGTTGAGAATAAAGTCGTAATATTTTGAGAATATTTTGAGAATAAAGTCGGAATATTTTGAGAATAAAGTCGGAATATTTGAGAATAAAGTCGGAATATTTTGAGAATATTTTGAGAATAAAGTCGTAATATTACGAGAATAAAGTCAGTTTGGTCGAGCTGGTCAAGTCAGATCTTGATAACTCTATCTAAGCTTTTTTCTCATTAAAACAACTTTTTTTCTTGTATTATTCCGACTTTATTATCGTAATTTAACCCCAAAAAATGACATATTTCTCTCTGTCTGGCCCTAATACTCGGTCGTACTCTTCAGAGCTACAGTACTTCATTATAATGCTGCTGTCACACATTTTACCTTCATCAAAGAGCCTGCAGCCACATCGCTGTTTGGATAATATTATTTATAATTGTGCAGCTCTAATTCAGTCTGATTTGGAAACATATTAAATGAGCCATTACTGTGTTAAATAAACACGGAGGTGTCAGTTTCGTCGCTCTAGTGCAAAGAGAACTAATTGTTGTGTGTGTGTTTGTTTGCTGTTGTGTGTGTGTGTGTGTGTGTGTGTGTGTTATGCACGCTTGCAGCAAACTGTCATTGTCCCTAATGAAAAGGTCGGGGCCCCTGAGTCCAAAAACAGGTGATTGTTATGAGCTGTAATAGGATGTTTCCACAGTTAATGGTGGCATTGTTCACTTTCACCGCGTTGTGCTTTGTCCCGGTGGCGCTGAGGGTCACAGAGGTCGAACAACAGGTCGGCGTCGGGGGTCCGAATCAGCCTAAAAGAGTAAATGAGAAGCTGTTCTTCGCCTACAGTATGTGTGTCTGTGTCTCTCCACGCCTCCAGAGTTCTCTCATTGTGAAGGACGATGTGTAATCGGACCGTCGGAGGCCGGACGTCGACCTCAGACCTCAACCCTCGCTCTTTGCTCTTTTAGTGAGATACTGCTCGCGGAGGAGGTGTGTGCGTCTGTTGGCTCTTCCTCACCTTTGCTCAGCAGCCAGTGGGGTCGAACAGGACTTAACCGGGCTTATCTGCGCCTGCTTCATTAAAATGTTACTGTGATTAGATTGCAGACAGGCACTACTTGATTACTGCGCTGGCTCGTTCTGTTTTCTCCTTTGAACCATCAAAGAAAACAAGTTCTGTGTGTTTATGTGCGGGGGGGAGGGAGAGTCTAAAGATCCCTTATGTAACGCGGAGAGCTGACTCTGGCGTATTGGATTGAAAACCCCCGTCCTCAGCACGGCACCCTGCACTGATTTTGCTGACAGAGATACAACCCTCTCTCCCTCCCCTCCTTTGTTACGTATTGTCTTATCTCTGTTTGGCGCAACCAGAACATCACATGCTTCAGATAAACACGTCGTCTCAGACCGCTTCTGGAGGGTAGGTCGGTTCGAACCCCATCAGTCCTTTAAACTGGAAGCACATCAGCTGCTTCTGGGAGGAAACTCCATTTAATAATCACTGCTGTTAGTCAAATATTTGTTAACGTAAACTCGCAAAGTCAAAGAGAGTCTAAAAAAGTTTATTTTATCAGATGTTCCTCATTTTCTGACTGTTACAGATTAAATGTTTGTTGTTTTATTCTCTATTTTACCTTTATTTTAAGCCGCAGTAGGTCATTCTTTCTCTCATATTTCACTATATCCTGACGGTAGAACATGACACAGATAATCAATATAAAATATCAGCTTCCTCCGGCTCCTCCTGGTGGCTCCTAACGGGATTTACAAGAATCCACCGGCCCGAATGACAACAACCAATCAGAGAAAGATAAAAATACACTGTGGTTTGAAGATAATTGATTGTTGAGTCTCCTAGGAATGAGATTCAACAATCAATTAATCTTTAATGGCTCTGATTGGTTGTTCGACACGCATACAATTAAACTAAAACTCTACAATAACTGTTTAATTAATACCAAATGATATGTTTGTGTCCAGGAAAACATCCAAGAAAGTTACAGACGGGTAAAATAACCGTATGATGATGATAATTAGTATTTATTGAAGAGGTTTTGTAAACTGAATGCAAAGTTAACGCTGTGTGACAAAGACGAAGGAGGAAGAAGGAAGAGACCACAGTTCCAGGTTTCAAAGTAGGACGCGGGACCGGCGTGATCTTGTTTGGCAGGTTAGTCCAGAGCCTCGGGGGTCCTGACGAGGAAGCTATTTTTGAGATTGTAATCAGTTCAGTTTTGAGTCTGTAGTGTCCACAAGAGAGCGTTGGTCTCATTGAAGGGATTAAAAGGATATAATTAGAAGATTATAAATATAAATTCAATGTTCCTTAAAAGGGTTTGTGACCGATTTTATACACAAAGGCGGTTCAACTCGTAGTGAGGATTTGTGAAAACGTCTTTAGTGGCTGGAGAGCCTAATTAAAGATGTGTTTAAGTTGCATTATGGGAAATGTAGGAGTTCTATAATACTATGAACTACAAGTCAGATAAGTTTGGCTTCTGCTGCATCAGTTTTGTCAATTCTTATTTTAATCTCATTTGTAAGTCGCCCAACTTTAACATGAAACTAAAGTGTTCTTTTAATAGAAATGTTTAAAAAAAAAGACCAAATTAATACGTTTTTATCAGGTACCTGCTTAACAAACACCAAATACATTCACACAGGAAAATCAAAAGATGAGTAAACTGATATTTGTGTATAAATTGTTTCTCTTAGAGCTGCGTTAATTAGCTGATTAATCAATTAGTCGAAGAAAATTTACTATTAACTATGTTCTATTTGTCGTTTTGGTCATTTTTCAAGCAAAAATATCCAGCTTCGTAAATGTGAGGATTTGTTGTTTTTCTTCATGTTTTGATCAGACAACAGAAGCAAGTTGAAGACGTTTTTAGATTTAATCGATCATGAAATAACAACCTTTAGTTGCAGCCCTGGTTCCTTTAAAGCGTCTCAGTAAAACGACGGTAGATAAAAGATTAAAGCTGCAGCATTTTGGACTAAATGTAATCTGCCAGATTAGACAGCTGCTCAGCTGAAAATAAAACAGCAGGGATCACAAATTCCAGGAAATCTTAAATTCTGTGGTTTCCTCTTTATTCTCTCTCTGTTTCTGTGTCTTCCCCCTGTTTCCCCACACTGACCTGATTTGTGCTTGCCTGTGCTTGTCTGCTTTTTTCCTCACGTCAATGTCTTCACGACAGGTTTTTACGGGCTCGCTGAATCCGACTTGGACAAAGTGTTCCGGCTTCCCACCACCACTTTCATCGGAGGCAGCGAGAGCGCTCTGCCTCTCAGAGAGATTATACGCCGCCTTGAGGTAGAATACTTTAAAATGGGCCACATAAATCCACATTCCTGGAATAAATATTATTAATCGTGAAGCACCTTTCATGCAGAGTTTCGGTCCAAAGTCAAACGAGCTTTGCAGTAATGTTAGCTTTGACTTTGGACTCTGTGTTGTGGTGGGGGACTCCATTTATTTAGTGTGACACTGTTTGACCACTGTAGGGAAAGCGGAGAGAGAAAGGAACTCGGGAGCGATAAAGGTCACAACCTTGTGACCCTCATCAATCATAGAAACACATGAGAATCAGTCCACGGGTGCAGAGGAAACAAACGTCAACAACCTTGTTCAGGCACATTTGCAATAGAAAGTGATAAAATTAATGATGTAAAATGCTTCAGAATCAGTTCGCTCTTCTGAACTCAAGATGCAGGACAGTGGTGGGACATAACATCCAGAGTCTCTGTAACTTTTGAGTGCAGCTTCCAGATTTAACTCCTTAAACTCTCAACATTGTGCACTCTCTCTTCTAGATGGCCTACTGTCAGCATATTGGCGTGGAGTTTATGTTCATTAACGACGTGGAGCAGTGCCAGTGGATCAGACAGAAGTTTGAGACCCCGGGGATCATGCAGTTCGGTCTGGAGGAGAAGAGGACTCTCTTGGCCAGAATGATCCGATCCACAAGGTCTGTCGGCGCTCCTTCGCATTCCTCAACACACCTTTACAGGGAAAGCATGCAGAGCAGCTGGAGGGCGGGTTTCTCTGAGTCTGTGGGGAGGGTGGCGGCCGGTGGGGGGGCCGTAGATGTTCTGAGCCACAATGTGAAGCAACAGCACCCCCGCCTGTTCACAGGTTTGAGGAGTTTCTCCAGAGGAAGTGGTCATCGGAGAAACGATTCGGTCTGGAAGGCTGCGAGTCGCTCATCCCGGCCCTCAAGACCATCATCGACATGTCGAGTCAGAGCGGCGTGGAGAGCGTGATCATGGGGATGCCTCACAGGTGAACATCTTTTAGCTTAACAAACTGCTGTTTTCTAAAGCTGGACAGGCACTTTTTAACTCTCAGGACAATAAATCATAACAAAAGTGCTGTGCTCTGGTCTCTTTAGTGACGAGTATGAGCATATAATAAAGAAAACATCAATAAACACAAACAAAACAGAGCAAAATATGTATTTATGATGACTTTATTATCCCTCTCAAGTCACTACCAGCAGGCTATCTCACATTCTGACCTTTATATCGAAGTATTAAATCACAGCATGGCCAAATCGTAGAAGCTGCAGTTTTTTGATGAAGGTAAAACTTGTGAATAAACAACATAATTGTTTAAAAAAAAAAAAAGACCTTTCTGACATCTCAACTCCAACCGATTGTCTGACGTCCACATCGTTGATTGTTCAGCCAATTAATAAGCAAACTGAACGTCAAACGAGCCCCGATCAGGAAGAAATTCAGCCTAATTTCTTAAATTAATTCTTAAATTAGTCCAATTTGGGGCTAAAATGTGTCTTAAACTGCATTAATGGAAATTAACAAACTCAATTTTGTACTAAAAGTATTTCCAGTTTATGCTACTTAATACTTTTACTCCACTACATGTCAGACTTATTTCTCTTCTACATTTATTTAGTAACTTTAGATTCAGATTCAGATTATTGATACAAAATATAATCAACTAATAAATGATTATGTTTTATTACAGATAAAACTTTATTCATCCTATGGCGAAATTCAGAAGCTACCCAGCAGTAAATAAAGTAATTAAAATTATCTCCCAGCTACAGCAACATTATGATGAAAACATTAATGCATCAATAATTATAATCCAATAATATAATATTTATTATTATTATTCTGTTTCCATTCTGAATAATGACTTTTACTTTTGGTACTTTGCGTATATTTAGATAATAGTAAGGTTACGAAGATGTTCCCATTTTGGAGACTTGCATTGGCTCTTTTCTGCCCCTTTATGTTGATAAAATCACTAATATTTCACAGGTTTTTACTACTATATATATATATTTATGTATATATACATGTATCTGTATTTATATTTCTCATTATTTGTATCAGTTTAATTTTGTCAGGTGTTAAAGATTTAGTTCCTTTTGATTTTGACAGTAGAAAGATGTATTTTTTCTCACATTATGAGTTTGATGCCTGATGAATGTCAGTGTGTGTCTCATCTTATACCTGATGTGTCTCTCGTCATCTTTAGAGGCCGGCTGAACGTGCTGGCGAATGTGATCCGGAAGGAGCTGGACCAGATCTTCTGCCAGTTCGACTCTAAACTGGAGGCTGCTGATGAGGTTTGAACATTAACTGCTGAGAACAGAGCAAATTCTGATTAAAGTAGCTCCAGCGGTTATCAGAAAGCTGTAAGACTGCGAGCCAGCAGGCATTTAGCTTAATTAAAGACTGGAAACAGACGTAAACAGATAACCTGGCTATGTTAAAGCTTAAATATCCACCAACCCACACTTCTAAAACTCACTAATTATCACTTTATATCTTGTTTTGTGTAATTCTTACAAATATGAATGGAAAGAAATCCCTGTACGCAGCCAAATAATGTAGTTCCAGCACATAACGGACTGTAAAAACACAACTTTTTCTTTTAGGTTGTAACAGGAAGAAAAATCGAGAGAGAAACAAATTTGAAGAATGTAAAATTATTATTTACATATTTAACTTTAGAGTTTAGGAACTGCGTGTTTGTTTTGTAATTAGTTAGAACGGACACAGATTTGACCTGATTTTAATGTTTGTTTTGTTCTGATACTTTTGCTATCGCTGCTTCCTCTAACTGTTGGCAGTAGAGTGAATAAACTTATATTTCCAATATGTGAAAGCTATTATATAAGCTTTTATTTGTTTTAAACCGCCCAACAAACCATTTAAAATGATAAAATAGAGTTAAACAGTGAATTTCCACAGTTCAGGAGGATTTTAACTAATTGATTTACAGAATCATTAATCAGTAGTTGTAGCTTTGCCTAAATCTGCCTGAATGCTTTAACTCCTTCCTGATCTTCTGCTCTCAGGGTTCTGGAGATGTGAAATATCACTTGGGGATGTATCACAAGAGGATGAACCGGGTCAGCGACCGGTACATCACGATGTCCCTGATGGCGAACCCGTCCCACCTGGAGGCGGTGGACCCGGTGGTGCAGGGAAAGACCAAAGCTGAGCAGTTCTACTGTGGAGACACTGAGGGCAAACGGGTACGCTGAGTCCGGTTTTTACGTAGAAATACGGACAGAAACAACACATTTGCTCGTGTTTGTAACCTGGTGGATTGATTTCACAGGTGATGTCTATTCTGCTCCACGGTGATGCTGCGTTCGCGGGGCAGGGCATCGTGTACGAGACGTTCCACCTGTCTGACCTGCCCTCATACACCACGCACGGCACCATACACGTGGTGGTCAACAACCAGGTGTGCTTTTAGGCTCTGATTGTCGAAAATACTGAGCACTGGGCTGGAAATAAGCCCTCTGTGTTACTGGTTTATGTCAGTCTCTGCAGCAGAACTTCTACCTGGAAACACACCGATCAGGAATGTAACAGTAGATCACGAGAGAGTTAAACTACAATAAAAATATGTGAAGATTCATAACGGTGAATCTCTTTTAAACAGCAGAGAGACTATCTACCTTTGACTTTGATTGTTTGACGTACCTCGACTAATCATAATAACAATAATAATCATTAGCTGACTGAGTTATAGTTTCTCTTTCACTTCTACAAAGAAAAGGAAACATTCCCATTTTGCACATTTTATACCTCAGAAACAAAAAGGGATTCTTTGATTTATTAAAGAAAATATGTTTATTTTGTTGATTTTTATCTGAGAAATAAAGGAATCATTTTGTAAAAAAAAAACCGTACAGTGAACTCAGTATGATTCGTTAATTGCCCAAAGAAAGTAAGTGTAGATCAAATGTGACACATTTACATTAGAGATTATCAATCACTGTATTGTATAGACTGACATTATGTATTGTTTGTTGTTTATATTTTGTTATTTATTCAATGTAGATCTCAGAAAATCAAATCAGACAAAGACTATTAGAAATAGATACAACAAAATTTACATTGAAACCTTTTGGACCACCCAGGTCAGATTACATGGTCTCAGTTCTACAACACAAAGTGAATATATTGAAAATAAAACTAGTTTAGCTGCATGAAAATGTTTATTTTAAGTAAGGAAGACACGCCAAATCATAAAGATGTTCCCTAAACCCTCATTTAACCCCTTCATTACTTTATCTTGGTTTTTATTAATCACACACTGATCACACAGGCTGAAATAACAATGAACGATTGAGTTTCACTGGTAATAATAATAATGTTCTCATCCACAGATTGGTTTCACCACAGATCCCAGGATGGCGCGTTCGTCTCCTTATCCCACAGATGTCGCGCGGGTCGTCAACGCTCCCATCTTCCATGTCAATGCGGATGACCCGGAGGCCGTGATATACGTGTGTAAGGTCGCGGCCGAGTGGAGGAACACTTTCCATAAAGATGTGGTCGTAGACCTGGTGAGTGTACAGGACAGGACAGAGCGGCAGAGGTCAGCTGGTGCCCTTGTTTGTACTCCTTTACTCTCAAATGCCCAAAAAACTCCACTGTTCAGCAGCTCAGATTAAAACTGTAAACTACTAATGTGTGAAACCCAGTTAGACTCAATGTGGACCACTGAGATAAAGCCTCCACTGGCTACGACAAAGGCCACACTCGAAGGAGGAGTGAATGGCTGGCAACAGGGTTCCCATGCAACCTGGAAAACCTGGACATCATTTAAGCACCTGGAAATTGATTGAAATGACCAAAAATCCTGGAAATAATTTATGTTTTTAATTGTAATTCAGCCCTTCACTTGGAACAAGATAAATTCTACTATGTTACTGTTAGAGGAAAGTAAGTAAAGTGGAAAGTCGATGATCACCTACCTGTAATAAACCAGAGACACTTAAAGCTGCATAATTAAAAAAAGAGTCAATATTACTACTGGTAAACTATACAACCTTTTGTGAGCAAGTTCTGTCGTTTATTGTCAAAACAACTCCTGGAAAATGATTCATTAAAAAGCGTGGAAAGCCTGTGGCCACCGTAAAGAGAGGAGGTGAGATATTGTTTGGATTTGGATATAATGGCACACATTTTCAGGCAGTCTGTCCTTGAAAGCGTTCATGGTGTTGCGCCAAAGTCTTGGTGATTAATGGGAAACTCTCCTCTGACGCTGGAACATTTGAACTTTGTAGTAATTTGTTAAGCACAGATCAGCATCTAGCACAGCTGTACTGTACTGTACTGTCAATGCTGTAAACGTGTCACACCTAAACTCTGGCCTCGTCACATTCAGGTGTGTTACAGACGTAACGGCCACAACGAGATGGATGAGCCCATGTTCACCCAGCCGCTGATGTACAAGCAGATCAAGAAGCAGAAAGGGGTCCTGAAGAAGTTCGCCGATAAAGTCATCGCCGAGGGAGTCATCACACTGCAGGAGTACGAGGTAAAGCAAGGAGGAGGTTGTCCTGCATAGTGGGACGATTTTATACAGTTAAATTCTCTATTTTTGCACCACAAAATAAAGCTGTGTGTCAAATTGAAGATGCAGTTTTTACAGTATTTTATACAGAAGGAAGGAATTCATTGTCAGCGAGGGGAAAGCGCTCACTGTGAGACATAATGGAGCATCTCAACCATCTGAATGAAACCATCTGACACAAAGAATCCAAAACGTTTGGTGCAAATGTAAAAAAGAAAACACTTTTCAGTCAGTGAAAAACACTTTTGTGGAACAAGACAGAATAATTGATGGTTTTCAGTCTCAGAATTGGGAGTTTGCACATTAATGAAAATCTATTTGCAGCTGCCGTTAGGAGCTGCACACTTACAGGGGAAGTGAATGAATTATTTGAATGTTGAAGACATTTTCAAGCAGTTAGACAGATGAATGAGGTCGTATGTGTGAAACAAAGTGGTCCAACCCAATAACTGAGCCCCAATAACAGTTGAGAAAGCCTCCGTCAACTGTCTCCTTTCTTTTACTTCAATATGTTATATGATAATTAATGCTGAAAAGACAACATAAGAAGATAAAAGTGACATATATATAGTCACAACTTAAGTTAGCTAATGTTAGTTACTAATACTGGGACACTAACAGCTTGTAGGTGGACAAAAAACTGAAAAATAAAAGGTTGTCTTGAAATTATTCTTCTATTCAGCCCGATACAGAGTTACAGGTGTTAATTTACATATAAAATATATATATATTTATGTATATCTGTCTCAGTTCATTGTTCCACTGTAGGGGTTGCTTCTGCAGCCAGGGAAGTTATCATTGCCCTTCAATTAACAATAAAAACCTTAAGATATACAAACTATCTCCATAGAGTACACCTCTCTGTACACATCCCAGTGGATTCAAAAGTAAAACAACATCTAAAACGACTGTTATCTCACTTTTAATCCCAAAAATGCCTGAATTAATGACATAAATCCCTATTTAGAAGCTAAACTTGCATCCATCTCTTTCAGGAGGAAGTAGCTCAGTACGACAAAATCTGCGAGGAAGCTTACAATCGCTCCAAAGATGAGAAGATCCTTCACATCAAACACTGGCTGGACTCGCCGTGGCCTGGTAGGAGCCGGATTTCTGCCCCCTTTAATGAATCACGTGTATATTCGTCGCTGTACGGTTGGAGCTGTAATGTGTGTGTCTGTAGATTTCTTCACACTGGAGGGACAACCCAAAACTATGAGCTGCCCCCCCACCGGCATCAGTGAAGAAGAGCTCAGTCATATTGGAAACATCGCCGCCTCCGTCCCAGTGGAGGACTTCACCATACACGGAGGTACTGTCTCTCAACGTGCCGCCACTTTTAACGCTTTCAGAGCGGACCTCCACTAACTAGCTTCTTTAAATCGATCTGAAACAAAAAGCATAACAGCTGGAGCGTTCATTGGTTTCCGTCTTTCGCGTCATCACGTTGTACGCTCAAGGTGACGTGACTACGTTACGTTACGTGCAAGAGAAGAGCAGAGGAGAGAAGCAGGTCGATAGTTGATGAGAGAGAGATTGAGAGAAATAGTTAGTCGGTAGTTTTTGTTGTAGTTTTAGTCGGTGTATTGTGGAGTATTTTTTTTTTTTCGTCTTTGTTTTGTCTTGATGGTGAAGAAACGATACTCAACCGAGGAAATTCTGGAGCTTTTGTTCGCGGGCGGTGACGAGGAAGAAGCGCTTTCTGTAGCTACTGTTAATTTTATATATTATATGCATACATAATACTTTATATCTTATTCTTGATTCTGTTCACTATAAAGTGTCTGTCTGTCTCTTTCCTTCCGTCTGGATTCCTTCTTCAGTGAGATCATTTTGTAGAAGGCGTCGATCAATACTTGTGTCAGTTATCATGGTTTATTGACTTACATAACCTTTTGTAATGGGCGTGAGGTTGGA